AAGAATGGAAAACCAGCCCCCTAGAAACGGACACCAACCAAAATCAGACAACCAAAATGACAGAAGAGGAATTTCGAATGTGGATCATAAGAAAAGTCAACGACCTGCAAGAACAACTCAATAACCAACACAAAGAGACCACAAAAAGCCTCCAGGACATGGAACAAAAGTTCACTAAAGAAATCGACACAATGAACAAAAGTTTAACCAAACTCCTGGAAATGATGAATCAATTCAGGGAACTACAGAATACAGTGGAAAGTATCAAGAACAGGGTAGATGAAACAGAAGAAAGAATCTCAGAGATTGAACATAACACCCTCCAACTAAATAAATCAGTCACACAGATAGAGCAGAGAAACAAGAGAAAAGAGCAAAGCCTACAAGAGATGTGGGATTATGTGAAAAAACCTAATGTGAGGGTCATAGGGTTACCAGAAGGGGAAGAGGAAAACACCCAAGGGTTGGACAAGCTATTTGAAGATATAATAGAGGAAAATTTCCCAGGCCTTGCTCAAAATCTCGATATACAAGTTCAAGAAGCTCAGAGGACCCCTGGGAGAGTCAATACAAACAGGAAGACATCACCACATGCAGTCATCAGACTGACCAAAATATCAACTAAAGAGGCCCTTCTAAGAGCTGTAACACCAAAGAAGCAAGTAACATACAAGGGAAAGCCAATTCGAATAACACCCGACTTCTCTACTGAGATTTACAAGCAAGGAGAGATGGGGACCCATTCTCACTCTTCTGAAACAAAACAATACCCAGCCTAGAATCTTATTCCCTACAAAACTAAGCTTCAAATATGTAGGAGGAATAAAGACATTCTCAGACCAACAAAGTCTCAGAGAATTCACCAAGACCAGCCCTAGGAGAAGTACTCAGAACACCATAATAAAAATTCACAAATATAAAAACAACCAAAACCCAAAGATTAAAGGCCAGATATTACAGCGGCTCAAGAGAGAAAGCAATGCAACAACATCCAACCCAACAGAATGAACAGTAATCTACCTTACCTATCAGTTCTCTCAATAAATGTGAATGGCTTAAACTCTCCACTCAAGAGACATAGCCTGGCTGAATGGGTAAGAAAATACAGGCCAAGTATATGCTGTCTTCAGGAAACACATCTAACCTGCAAGGATGCATATAGACTAGTAAAAGGGTGGAGATCAGTATTCCAGGCACATGGAAGCCAAAAGAAGGCTGGCATGGCAGTTCTAATTTCAGACGATTTAGTTTTTAAACCAATGAATGTAGTGAAAGACAAAGAGGGTCATTATATAATAGTGAAGGGCACACTTCAACAAGAAGAGATAACAATTTTAAACATATATGCAGCCAACTTAGCGGCACCCAATTTCATAAAGCAAACCTTATTGGATCTAAGCAAGTGGATTAATAGCAACTCCATAATCACCGGATTTCAACACCCAACTGACAGCACAAGACAGATCCTCTAAACAGAAAATCAATAAAGAAATAATGGACTTAAACAAAACTCTAGAACAATTGGGTCTGACTGACATTTACAGGACATTCTCCCCAAAATCCACTGAATATACGTTCTTCTCATCAACTCACGGGACATTCTCTAAAGTTGACATATCCTAGGACACAAAGTAACCTCAAGAAATTAAAGAAACAGAAATCATACCATGTTCTTCTCAGATGACAGGTGAATAAAAGTAGAAATCAATCCTACAGAAAACTCACATTACACAAAACGTTGGAAATTAAACAACCTCTTACTAAATGATTACTTCGAAATGAGAATCAAGGATGGAAAATAATAAAAATTCTAAACAAAATGACAATGGAGAGGTAAGTTATCAAATCTCTGGACCACAGTGTAAGCAGTTCTGAGGGAAGTTTATCTCCATAAATGCCGGTAACCAAAAGTCAAAAAGATCACAAATAGACAATCTAATGAAAGACTCAAAGAGTGAAAAGAAGAACAGCCAACCCCAAACCAGCAGAAGAAGTGAATCAACAAGATCAAATCAGAACAAATGAAATTGAAAAACAGAGCTATTCAGGAGATTAATAAAACACAAAGTTGGTTCTTTGAAAAAATAAACAAAATTGACACGCATTGGCTAAAGCTAATGAAAAGCAGAAAAGAGAAATCTCTAATAAGCCCATCAGGAAAGCAAAAGAGATTCACAACTGATCCAAAAAGATACAAGATATAATTTATGAATACTACAAAAATCTTTATGCACACAAACTGGAAAATGTGGAGGAAATGAACAAATTTCTAGAAACACATAGCCTCCCTAGGCTCAACCAGGAGAAATAGTTTCCTACAACAGACTGATCTCAAGAGCTGAAATTAGAAACAGCAATTAAATCTCCTAAAAAGAAAAGTCCCGGTCCAGATGGTTTCACACCGAATTTACCACACTTACAAAGAGAACTAGTACCTATCTTGCCAGAAACTATTCCACAATTCGGAAAGAATGGAAACCTCCCGACACCTTTATGAAGCGAATATTACTCCGATACCAAAATAGAAAGGATGCCACAAAAAAGAAATACAGACCAATATCCCTAATGAATATAGATGCAAAATTTCAACAAAATCTTAGCTAACCGAATCCAGACGCTTATCAAAAAAATAATCCATCACGACCAAGTGGGCTTCGTCCCAGGGATGCAGGGATGGTTAACATACACCAAATCTTATAAATGCAATTCACCCCATAAACAGAAGCAAAAACAAGACCACATGATTCTTTTAATAGATGCAGAAAAGCTTTGGACAAAATTCAAACCTTTTCATTACGAACACTTAATAAATAGCATGAAGGAACATACCTAAAAATGAACAAGCCATATATTGACAGACCCATAGCCAATCATACTGAATGGGAAAAAATTGAAATCATTCCCACTTAGAACTGGAACCAGACAAGGGTGCCCACTATCTCCACTTCTATTCAACGTAGTGCTTGAAGTCCTAGCTACAGCAATCAGACAGGAAAAAGGAATTAAAGGTATCCAAATAGGGGCAGAAGACATCAACTTTCACGTTTTCCTCATGTATGATATTATTTAGAAACCCAAAGATCAACAAGAAACTCCTGGAACTGATAATGAATTTAGTAAGTCTCAGGATACAACAAATACACAGAAATCAGAGGGCATTCATATATGCAACAACAATCAATTGAAACCAAATCAAGACTCATTCCATTCACATACAACAAGAAATTTAAAGTACCTAGGAATATACTTAAACCAAAGGAGGTACAAAGACCTCTACAGGGAGAACTATGAACACTGAGGAAGGAAATAGCAGAGCATGTAAACAGATGGAAATCCATACCATGCTTGTGTATCGGCAGACTCAACATCATCAAAATGTCTATACTACCCAAACTGATCTACAGACATGCAAATACCTATTAAAATCCCAGAGCATTCTTCACAAATACAGAAAAAATAATTTTACGCTTCGTATGGAACCAAAGAAGACCCCGAATATCAAAAGCAATTCTAGGCAACATAAAACAAAATGGGAGGTATTAATATGCCAGATAACAAACTATACTACAAAGCTGTGGTAATTAAATCAATCTGGTATTGGCACAAAAATAGGAATACTGACCAGTAGAACAGATGTGAGAATCCTGATATAAAACCATCCTCATATAGCCATCTAATCTTTGACAAAGCAGACAAAAAATACGCTGGGGAAAGAATCCCTTTTCAATAAATGGTGGCTGAGAAAACTGGATAGCACTTGTAGAAGGCTAAAGCAGGCCACACCTTTCACCTCTCACAAAATCAACTCCGCTGGATAACAGACTTAAACCTAAGGTATGAAACTATTAGAATTCTAGAGGAAAATGACATGGGCCAAGGCAAAGAGTTTATGAAGAAGTCCCCAAAGGCAATCACAGCAGCAACAAAAATAAATAAATGGGACATGATCAAACTAAACAGCTTCTGCACAGCAAACAAACAGTCATGAAAGTAAACAGACAACCTACAGAATGGGAGAAAATTTTTGCATCCTACCCATCTGATAAGGGGCTGATAACTAGAATATACTTAGAACTCACGAAAATCAGCAAGAAAAAAATCAAATAACCCTATTAAAAAGTGGGCAAAGGACTTGAACAGAAACTTTTATAAAGAAGACAGAAGAATGGCCAACAAACATATGAGAAAATGTTCACCATCTCTAATCATCAGGGAAATGCAAATCAAAACCACAATCAGGGGACGGAGACTGGTTGTAGGGGAGGGAAAGGCGGCAAAAGGGGATTTTTCAAAGTACCGAAAAACTCCTCCCGGGATCGAGCGCAGCGGCACCCCCAGGCCAGGGGCACCTCTGGTGGGGCAGAAGGTGATTGAATTACTCAGATATGAAGATCATCTTCCAGGTTTGTGTAAAAGGCCCCGGATATTTCAAGTAGCCATTTTGGAATTACAATGTTTTGGATAATTTTGCCCCAGAAGTTTATTAAAATTTGCAAGAATCGTCTCTGAAGTGAATTGATAGTAGTGAACAATTCAACAAGCTACTTAAAAAGAGACCAAGGCGTTTCTTCAGTGTTTTGGTTCAAGCGGATTATATAACTGGTTAAAAGTATTTCAGCTGGTGGTATTTTTGCCTCCCCTCTCCACCTTCCCCTGTTGTTGGTGTTCTTCAGCCAAAACTGTAAGATATGTTTGATTTGTTTACTGAGTAGTTTCACCAGTTTCAATGACTGTTTAACTATTGCTGAAGTTTCATGGCAGTTTATTTTTACCTTTATTAGAAGTTTTAGGAATTTTTGACCTCAGTCCTTTTCATGTCACAATGGGACAGCTTTTCTAAATGAATACATTGAAAGAATACAGAGTTTTTTTCCTTTTTTATCTTTTATTTACATGGAAATTTAAGATGTTGCTGTTTCCCAGCAGCATGGTAGTATTGAGATAGCTATGTGTGTCTCTGTATATCCTGATATTTAGGAATGCTCTTCAGATGTGAAATTTTCTTTTTGTTTTTGCTTTTTGGCTCATAAATTGGATATTTCATCTGGAGTGGATAATTACAACAGTGGCAAGTACATGGAATAATATAGAAGACTTTGATCTTAAATCCAAGGAACTTGGCTAATTCTAGAGATAGCCATATGAAAACTTTAAAACAGAAGTATGGGTAGCGGACTTGAAGTAACTCTATGTCAAATAGTCATACGTTAAGTATCTTCAAAAAACTTGGATATTATTTCAGAGGATACAAAATAAAAAATCAAACTGAAAAACATAAAGATTACAGAGAAGAAATCAACACCTTCCTGTGCAGTCCTATTGGAATTTAGATGGAGGTCTCGTCTTGTTGCCTAGGTTGGAGTGCCGTGGCATGATCATAGGGACTTGCCATGAGGTGTTGAAGCCTTATTTCATTGAGTTGGAGAGACTGGACCTAAATGGCACAGCATGACTTTTCTCCAGCCTGGCTTAATTTTCCTACTCCACCATCATCAACAAAGTCATCATTGAATTTTGAGAAGCATTCTGAAAACTTTTCATGGACCGAAAATCGTTATGATGTGAATCGTCAACGACACAACTCTTCAGATGGCTTTGATTCTGGTGTTGGACATCCTAATGGGGGTAACTTTGGAAGGAAAGAAAAAAACGGATGGCATACACATGGAAGAAATGGTACTGAAAACATAAATCATCGAGGGGGATACCATGGTGGGAGTTCCCGTTCTCGTAGCAGTATTTTCCATTCTGGAAAAATCCTACATGAAAACAATGTACCTGACCATGAAACTGGGAGGAAAGAAGACAAGAGAGAACGCAAACTGTTTGAGGCTGAGGATTTTCCGTCTTTAAATCCTGAATATGAGAGAGAACCAAATCAGAATAAATCTTTAGCTGCAGGTGTATGGGAATATCCTCCGAATCCTAAATCTAGAGCTCCAAGGATGCTGGTCATTAAGAAAGGTAATACAAAAGACTTACAGCTATCTGGATTCCCAGTAGTGGGAAATCTTCAGTCACAGCCAGTTAAGAATGGAACTGGTCCAAGTGTTTATAAAGGTTTAGTCCCTAAACCTGCTGCTGCACCTACAAAACCTACACAATGGAAAAGCCAAACTAAAGAAAATAAAGCTGGGACTTCTTTCCCTCATGAGTCTACATATGATGTTGGCAACTTTAATGCTTTTAAATCAACTGCCAAGAATTTTAGTCCATCACCAAATTCAGTGAAAGAGTGTAATCGCTCAAATTCCTCTTCACCTGTTGACAAACTCAATCAGCAGCCTCGTCTAACCAAACTGACATGAATGTGCACAGATAAGAAGAGTGAATTTTTTAAAGCATTGAAAAGGGACAGAGTAGAAGAGGAACATGAAGATGAAAGCCATGCTGGCTCAGAGAAGGATGACGACTCATTTAATTTACATAACAGCAATAGCTCTCACGAAGAAAGGGATATAAACCGAAACTTTGATGAAAATGAAATTCCACAAGAGAATGGCAATGCCTCGGTGATTTCCCAACAGATCATTCAGTCTTCAACCTTCCCACAAACTGATGTTCTTTCAAGTTCACTTGAGGCAGAACACAGATTGTTGAAGGAGATGGGCTGGCAGGAAGACAGTGAAAATGATGAAACATGTGCTCCCTTAACGGAGGATGAAATGAGAGAATTCCAAGTTATTAGTGAACAGTTACAGAATGGTCTGAGAAAAAATGGTATTTTGAAAAATGGGCTGATCTGTGACTTCAAGTTTAGACCCTGGAAAAACAGCACTTTCAAACCCACAATTGAGAATGATGACACAGAGACAAGTAGCAGTGACACATCAGATGACGACGATGTGTGAAGGATTTCCTAACAGCTTTAGAAATTTTAGTGTGATACATCTCTCATACAGTTTGGGGTGAATTGTAAAAATGAAGAACTATAATTTATGTAGTGAAATACCCCATTAGAAGATGTTTTCTGGGGGGACTTCAATATTAAGAAAACCAAGAATGTTGTGTTGGGCTGTGTTGAACATTATTTCTCTGTAAATGAATGTTGTAGAAATGAGGACTTTGGTTGATCCAACATTGACTTTCTTCATCACTGCAGCATTTCTCTGACTAGCAATGTGACGACGTAACAAATGAGATTTTCTCATTTAATAATAAAAAATTGTGTAATGTTTTGCAAAGCTTCTGTCTTAAAATGTCCAGGTCTTAAGAAAAAAAGGCAGCTTACACTGTTTTGCTTGCAGAGTCATATCTTTTTCGTACAATGGAAATCCTCAAGTCCACTTTGTGTGCCCCTCCAACCCTCCCCCAAAGAAACAAACAAAAAGGAAAATGTAGCATGTTGGCTAAAACTGGAGCAAAGTGCACTAAAACATTAATTTCCTAAATTCAACTGTTGTACTAGTCACCTTTTAAAATATAAATTGCTCTTTAGCCATTTGTAGTGCAGTAAATGTTACAGGAAAGACTTGCCACATTTTCTTCCAAATTTTAAGAGGTGATTTTCAAGAGCTTTATTTGGGTATGTTGTCAGACCAGGATTTTCAGAGTTGATGGAGAAGAGTCTTGTGGGAAAACTTATTTTGATAAATTATTACACATGCAGAAAAACTGATCACAGTTACTGGATCTGTCCACAACATGGAAAATAAACTGGATTTTCAGAATGTTGTTGTTCTCTGTAGTGTTCAAGATATTGGTCTCTAAACACAAACATGCTCTAAACATACTTTATTCACTTTAAACAAAGTTATACTTTACAAAAGTTATAGTTTATTAAAGATGGTGACTGCTGTCTGAGGTTAGAAAAGGAAAGCTTGGCTTTTTTCATTATCAGATGCACAAGGTTATTAAATGAATGTTAAGGAACTGTATTTTCATTTGCACATTAATTTTAGAATCATTTCTGTTTTGCTGCTGACTAGAAGAGTATTTTGGCTCTGTGTGTTTGCATTTTGATTTTTCTGGTTTTGTTTACACTCATTTTGCTTTTTATTCTCTCCTGCAACCCCATGTTTAAATATATTGTATTTGTAAAGAGCATAGTCTTAGAGCAAAAACGTTTGAAGTTTTATGTCAGGTCTAATCTGAAGAGTTTGTTGTTTTCAAAATTGTATTTTCTCAGAAGGCTGCAGTGGTTTTGCTGTTTCATTAATACCCTGCCTAGGTTTCCGAACTTTCACCAGAAGATATATATTTTTGTTCTCACTGACTGAGACTGGTAGTGATGGGGAAATTAAAGCAAAAACAGCACACCTGTACACCCCCACACAACTGGAGGATGAGTTAAGAGTGGTAACAAAGTATTATATGTTTCAAGTTAACTTTTAAAATAGGCTCATATAATTTGCTACAATTCAGTCTAATTAGCTAAAGTTAAATGTAGCATTAGCCACAAGAGAACCTAAAACACACTTTGATAAAGCTGTATCACATATTGAATGTCTTTGAGACTCTTAGGTTGTACTGTATTTGGTTAATTAATGAAATTTATCAGATGCAAACTGTATTTGCTAAAATAATATAGAAGGGACCTGAGAAATGTAGTTTCCATTTAAAATCTACCTTATTGTGTATTTCTACTTTCAGAAAAAATTCTGTAATTTTTGTTTTCTGGCATCTTATATTCAGACAATTTTTTCTGCCTTAATTGCCATTTACTTTGTTAACTGATGTTTATGGTGCTTTCGTACGTTGTGATACAGAATGTGTTCAGTAATTTATTCTTTATAAATACGTTAAAGTACAGTGAAATGATTATTCTACATATTAAGTGATGACATTAACAAATTTGGTTCCTGAGGGGAGTCATAGATGTGTGATTTGAGAGAACTGTTAAAGTTTTGCATAATTTTAACTTGCTGTCTGAATAATGAGAAGCTGATAATGGGTTTGGACCATATTGTTTGAAAGGGAGCCCATAAGCACAGAATCTAGTTAAATTGTAGGTCTAGCATGGAATTGCTATATTCAGCCAGGTCATGGAGGTCTGAAAAAATAATTTTGGCTACTTCAAACTAATTTTTGTGGCAAGTTTTTTTTTTTTTTTTTTAAAAAAACCTCCACTTTATCAAGGTATAAATTGGCATAAACAACATGTAAAGCATACAATTTAATGTTTTAACTGACAGAATCACAACTAAGTGAACATGTCATACACACACACCCCCACCCATCCACCATTTCCTGGTGCTTCCTTTGTAAATTTCTTCCCCTCACTATTAACCTTTCCCTGCATTTTATTAAATAAAAGGCAATTAATGAGCAAAATTCTTAGGAAATGATTTAAAATAGCATTTCAAAAATTGTATTTGGTTTTAAGATAAGGATTAGAATGATTTTAATTTCTATAAATATATTTCTATTAAAATTGAAATAAACTTAGAAGTGTTAATCAAAAGATAACCAGATTGATTTAGTAAAATCAGACATATTATTAAAATTCAATATGGAAGAAATTCAAAATTGAAGGAAGCATCTGGTTCATAAAAATTATTTTAGTCCTTTTTTGTTAGTGCTGTATGTGTACTGTTGTTAGAATATGGTTATATAAACATTTGTGTTTTAAGTTATTTAGGAATATGTGAAGTGCCTTGTTTTTGACCAAAAAAAGAATAATCTCTAATCTGATACTGTATTCTACTTGCATGCTCCATAATCTCTTACAAACTTCATTAGAGTTATTAAGGTATGCTTTATTAGCATCCAGGTAACTAGGGCAGAAAAAAAGCACACACTTGTGAAAATTTGCTGTTAATATAAAACACAGTTTTTATTTTGGTTCACACAATAAAATTAGGGATGTATTACTTTTTTTTTTTTTTAATTATACGTATATAATTAATATATATATATATATATATACAACACACAAAAATTAGGCCAGGGATGGTGATGTATGCTGTCTGTCCCATACTTGGAGGCTGACGGCAGGGAGGTTTTGTTGAGCCCAGAAGTTTGAGGTTGCTATGAGCTAGGCTGACGCCATGGCGACTCACTCAGCCTGGGGCAACAACATGGACTTCTGTTTCAAAAAAACTTCCAAACAGGCATTTTAACCGGCAAGGCAGGGGGGCATGGGCAATATATTAACCTCTAAAACTTGTTATCCGCCGCCCATCTATAGAAGATAACGAGAAGGTGAAAATGAGTGACTCGTTCTGAAAAACACTGAAACTTTACTGATGTACTGTGGAAAGTTGTTGTACTAATATATCAAAATATACCTCTATCAGTGACAGTATTTCATTTACTCAAAGTAACTGTATTTCAGGATATAGCTACGTCAAATGGCATAGTGTTGTGTTGTACACGGAGATATTGAACATTTATTTCATTAGAATATCCATAGGAATCATGTACGTGATAGTCGTTTGATCTGAGGCAATGATAGTAAAATCTAGTGATAATTATCTATCAGAGTTATGCTGCCTCTGATAACTGTGGTGTGGCATCCAGAATACATTGATGTCTTCTATTTATGAAAATTCAGGTAAAAGAATATTTTATGGTTTCCATTTTAATTGTGATTGTTGTAAGCTGCACAAATTGTTGATGTCAGAGCAAAATCCATGAGAAGTTTACTCTCTGAGAGAATAGGGGCTCACATCTTAGAGAAGACATTACATTGGATTATTAGTAACTAACCATAAATATCTTTATTGGGCTTCATTATATTTCTCCATTTTTTGAACTTACACGATATTATTGAATTTTAGGTATTGCTGGCCTAAGTTTTATAACTTACATGAACTGTTAAAACTAGTATAGAGTATGTATATATGAAGTTTTCCAAATCTAAGACATATCGATTTTTTTTGTTTTTGTTTTTATGAGATTAGAGGAGAATCATTGCATCCAGTTGACACCAGGAGGTTTTAGAAGATGCTGCTGGAATCAGCCTGACGACTTACATTGGGCTGATAGGAACTCAAACTTCTAGGCTCAAGATGGATACTCTCATGCCATAAACGTAGCACTCTCTGAGCTTTATAGCTGAGTGTATGTCAAGCAGATGTTGCTGTCCAGACTCAAACTGCGCGGCCTGTTTAGGAAGTTAAATCTTGTCTAAAGGGTCTCGTTTTTCATTAAGTTTTGACAAGAAGGAGTTAACTGTTTATGTAGCTTATTTAAATATTGTCATTGTACATCAAAACAAGAGAATATTCTATAAGAGTATTTCTTATGTTGTGGAATAAAACTGAAATAAACGGTTCTAGAAAAAGAGAATGTAAGGACGCTAAACTCATGTTAAATTTATTCCTGGACAGTCTTCATATTTTTGTGTGTTATTATTTTAAAAATTGATTTCAAATGATATTCACTGTAGTATATACAGAATTTAATCTTTTTAAATCACTGTGTACCTGCAACGTTCCTAAACTCCACTTATTTGTTCTATTAATTTTAAGGCAGTTTTTGGGATCTCTTACTATGTGGGATCATACAGATTGTAAATAAAAAAAAACATTTTATTCCTTTGCTATTTAAATAGTGTAGGCCAACTGTCTTGGTTTTCTCACTTCTAAATTGTGGGGTGTTAAGCAAAAAACATGAAGAAGTTTAGTTTCTTAAGGCTATAAAGAAATCGACCTTGATATCTATGGGAACTAGGTCAGTAAAGGAAATGATTTTCCAAGTAGGCATAATTCATATACGGCCAATCTCAAGAAGATGATGAAAATAGCTTGTTATATGCTCGATTAGTGATATTTGAAGGTATCATCATAAGTTTCTAGTATTACTATAAACTGTAAAACATTACTCATGTTCATTACACTTGTAATCAATGTTTCTTGCTGCTTCGAGACTGTTTACTCCTGAGAACGTGTCTTAGGAGTATGTGGTGTGAAGAGTGTGTTATCAGAGTAGTATGTTAAGATATTCATCTGGATCTTTAAGGAAGAGTATTGTGTTCAGCCTCCTATTTTTAAGGACAATTGTGTCATCTACAGGAAGCATCGGCATGATAATATTTTATTATGTCAATGATTTATGCTTCTAGTTCAGCAGGAATGGACACACGCGTAAGATCATTATGGTTAAATTTGTAGATTGTTTTGTAAACATTCTTTTTTATATTTATTTTATGACTTGATAACTTCCAGTCTCTCATTACTATAAAAGTGGTTTATAAAAATATATATCTACTATAAGAACATTTAAGAATGCATAAATCGTATGTACAAAAAAAACCCTATATTGCCATAGACTTGCCACTGAAGTCTCAGATTATGTTACTTATGTGTAGTTTAATCCTCGTAGAATGTTTGACTTAAAATGTAGACTTACATCTACAAATATACAAATTCACACTCTATAATACAGGAAATAAATTTCCAACTACTAACAAACTTTGTAGTCGATCACAATTGATGTTAGGAGGCTGCGGAGCTTCCAGCCTAGTAACACTGTCTAGCAGCTGTTAGGAATCGACGAGGCCGACGCCGGCGGTGCGGCAGAAGGCCTTGCTCAAAGGTCAGGAGGTACAAACCAGCTGCAGGTGACTGCGCGAGCGGAGGATTGAGACCCTCGACTAACCAAAGACATGAGCTGAATAAACGAAGTTGGAACATTTCTCAACCACAAGTATCAAAAATGGGCAAGGGTCTGCTGGAGGAAGCACGGGACTCTACACCACTGGACATAAGCAGGTCGCTTCGAGGATAATATATAAAATATATCTGTTATAGGCAGGCCAGATTATTGATCACAGTGAGACACAGGAACGGCAGAAATGCGTGTACAAACAGTCCGAATGCCAGGCACTTAGATGTACGCGCCAAGAAAGAGAGCGTGTACTGCGTGCTCTCACTTCTGGAAGTTTTCCAGATTCGCTGAGCTCCAGATGATAGTGGGAAGAGTTGCTCCGAAGGCAGAAGACGATAGTGCCCTACTGTTCCCTGAGCAGCAAGGCGACAACGCACATGCTGTACCTAGGACGCCTATCCACATTTACCAGTGAGCGTTGACGACCTTCGGTGCCACCACGGACAAGCAGGCCAAAAGCAACTAGAAACTTAGGGATGTTTGATAGTAATTAGGTATAGATTGCATCTTATCAAGACATCCTTACATCAAAGTTTAAGTACAGTTATCTACATAGTAAAAATTCCAATTTTATATTTAAATGAAAATAAGCCCAGAAATTGTTTATATTTGTCCTATTATTAGTCGAATATAACGTAATTAGCCTTTAAGTTCTTTTATTTACTATGGACATGATAGGATTTATATCTTGATATACCATCTATTTTATATGGATCGGAATAGTTTTATTTATACTATTGACCTTTTGTGTCACCCCATGAGTTCTATTTCGAATACACTTTCATCAGTATATCCATGCACTTAAGTCTACATGATATATTGTGGAGATAGCTTGAAATCTATTTGTCAAAGGAGGGTCGAAGAGGATTACCAGATGCTATGGGTCTCTTTCTCCCATCCCATGTTCGGCTTCACTAGATAATTGTATTCTTAATTTAATCAACACTGGAACGTGCTGTATGAATTGTCTATGAGAGGGGGGGGGGAATCTATACTGTTACAAAGAAATGAAGTACTATACGTACTTATACTTGAAAGCGCTGACAGTGTTTCACACCTTTGTCCAATACCTTGTGTTTGGGGAGAGTGGCAGTAAACTGGCTAACATTTAATCAAATATCACTAGTTTGCTTCATGAGAGATGACACAGTTGTCTTATAAAATAATAACACGACTGAAAGACGGTTAGGTCAAGAAATATATTATTAAGGAAGAAACATAACTGTTGGTCCCAACTTCTAGTCTGGTCTGCAACTCCCGATCAGCCACTCTCCCAGACCTCTCTGCATTCCGTGGGAGCAAATTAGCGAGGATGGTTGCCTTGTAAGGTAGCAAATACCACACTGCTAGTAATGAAATGCAGTAGAGAGTATGCTTATTCCGGATGAGCAATATCCTTGTAAGGTAATAGTGTAACTAACGTGGCATGTTCCTTCATAACTTCATCGGCAAGGAGGAGATAGAAGAAACCTCGTATGTAAAGTGAAGTTTATATTATAAACACAAGAAGATCCTCTGCGTAGCAATGAGAAAGTATTGAAATGGCACTGAAATCATATTGTATTATGTATGTCTCTAAGGACGTTACTGAATTCTATGAAAGGGTGGGAAATAGAATGTAAGAATACTCTGTGATTATAGTAACATACTGTGTCCGGTGTATTCTCCCTTGTATGTACTGTACACATGATGCACAAATGGAACTAAATTGTATTGTCTGGAAAAGGATTTGAGTTAAGGACCACCTGCCTAAAGGGTTCATTGCAGTTGGTCGCATTAAGAATGCCTGGGGTGATGTCACTTGTGGAGCCGCGCTCCTCGCTAAGTGTAAAATCTTTTACCAGAAAAAACTTGTGCCTGTTTATAGGCCCGTATAATAAATTTATCTTGTTTAAGGGATCTATTAACACGGACGATATTGTTTCTGCTACATATTAGATGTGTTATGAATTTGCACAAGTGTTTTGGTACAGCGAATCTAATGTAGTATATCTACCATATGCATGTATAGTATAGATA